TGGCAACATGACATTGCAGAGCGGTGCGTTTACCTAACCGAAAGTATTTTCGAAAGATACACGAGGGAGCTCCCAGACACACCAGATATGACGGATATACCAAACTATGTGCATCGCCTCCAAGCCCTAGTCGAATACTGCATGGAGGATGAGGTCCGAGCCAAAGTGTTACTGTCATTGGTCGGTCACATCGATCCCTACTTGTACCAGGACTTGGTGGAACGGGGACCAAGGGGGAAGACAGGTACTGTGCTTCTTTTTCGTCGTAATTACCATCGTGTCCGACAAACACTTTTTTGCTCGTATACTCATGTGTATATCTCCGCAGAACGAAAACTGACACAGTTGAAGTTAACCGACGCTGCCGAGCGCATGATCGGCTCGACACTGCCGAGCTTCCAGCGTGCAGTCAGAGAAGGCAGCTTCCTGGACAAAATCACGACTGTTGACGACGCAGTCGACATCATGGTTGAGGAACGGCTGATCTTACCCGAGGAACAATATATGCTATATCACATATATAAAACCACTACAGGGAAGGTGCGTGCGCTCAGATACCTCTTTGGATGCCCCACGGTACCCGACGACACCAAGGCCAGCATCTCGCTGATTCTGGCCGTGTACAACCTGCACGTCTTTGGCATCTTCACCGACAACCCCTATAGCTTGTTGGAGATTGTGTCTATTCCCTCAGTGGGGGCTTCGGTTGTGTAGACATGAGGTTTAACATTATGACTGTATATAAAGAGTGATGTGTGATTACCTGTATTTCACAATACACAAAACACCCTTATACATTTCTGTGCAACGTCTTTGGTACCCGACGACACCAAGGCCAGCATCTCGCTGATTCTGGCCGTGTACAACCTGCACGTCTTTGTCATCTTCACCGACGACCCCAACAACTTGTTGGAGATGGTGTCTATTCCCTCAGTGGGGGCTTCGATTGTGTAGACATGAGGTTTAACATTATGACTGTATATAAAGAGTGATGTGTGATTACCTGTATTTCACAATAAACAAAACACCATTATACATTTCTGTGCAGCGTCTTTATTTTGATACATGATACCAACAAGTACCTCGGCGCAAACCTTGGTACAGTCCCCGGGTATGTTGATATGGTGCACGGCCGGCAGAGGCCGCCCTTACATCCCACGGTATGTTGACTGAATGTACACACTAACACAACGTACACAGAAGAAGGGACTAATGCAAGTGTGTATCAGCAACGCCGCGGAATGACAAATATGACATCTTACCATGTTTCCTATGTACTACGATTGCCGCTTTGTACATTGTGCCACAATAAACATGAATCACAAGAAATGTGTAACTTTCTATGTCATATATTGGCCATTGCTTCACAGATAACACTTCTCTCGGTGACAGAGGCCCGCCAGATCCACTTCGTACTACTTCTGTTTGATTTGTAATATAAATAAATTACTTTAGATGTCTTTGATTTCAATGTTTTTATTGTTATATTGGTTTATATTGGTTACACATTGATTATACATTGGTTACACATTGGTTACACATTGGTTACACATTTGGTTACACATTTGGTTACACTGGGTTTAAGGGCGCCAGGTGTGCTTCTTGTAGATAGCTTCAGTGTTAAACAGAGTGTGTCCGGTTTCAGCTG